AGAGGCACCAAAAGCAAATAAGCTCCAGGGCGCTAAATCGAATCATTACGGTAAGTCAATTCTTTTACTTGTCACGCGCTTAAAACATGGTTCGAGTTAAAGAGGGTAAAATTATATAGAAATAATCTGAAGAGAAACAAAAATTAGTATTACTTCGAGTTAGCACGAGGTTCGAGTCAGTAGCGAGGGTTCGAGTTATTGGAGTCGACTGTATACATGTATACCCTTTTTAAACGATTTTTCTCTTATTCTGCGTTTTAGAGTATTCCGTATATTCCGTATTTTAGAATATTCCATGTATTCCATCTTTCCGTTCCGTCATTCCGTCAGTCCACCATTCCACCGAATAGCGTCACCCCCGATATTTTCATGTCCAAGAAAATACTAAACGCGAGGCTAATCATTGTGCCAAGAATTGAACCTGTTAGCTACATTTTGTAGCGCCAGATACTAGTCCTTTGAGAAAAAAAAAAAACCGTCATTCTTGGGCGTAATGAACTCAGTTTTCGGGACCAAGATGTTCCTCCTTCTCGGGAGCAACAGTACTCCAATATCTCTCTCTTTTTTTCCTTGAAGGAAGACAGTGGACATTGACATGAATGATTCTCGCCCGAAAAAAAAAAGAGATGGGATCAGATTTCTTTCAATAGACCACTGGCCAGAAGCGTCAACTCGTGACCCCACAACGATCAGATCACACTGAGGTCAAAACGGTGCGGCGGTTCGGGAATTTTTTCTTTTTAAGTCACCATCGCTTGTGAAAAAATAGCATTACTGTAACATTGTTTCACTAAGTGCTTTCTGGCCGGGAAAAAGTTGTGCATTCGTTTAGATTCCGCCGCAGTTTAGACAAAGACGTCATTGGCCGCTGTCACGCGACGACATTTTCCAGATTCAAGTTTCGTCAGCAGATGGTAATTTCGAGTTCTTTTCTTTTTCTGCCTATTTTTCATCTTCCTTTCTCTTTTAATTCTACGTCCTTCTACTTAGGATGGTCTCTGAGCGCCTAGCAGGGATTAAAGTGGCGTTTACCACGCTATCCACGGCCGTATTGCCAACACAGAAGTGTTTCGCCGAAGTAGCAAGATAACGGTAAACACTGCAACTTTGAACGCTTTGTGCAACGTCAATATACTTTGGCCGAAAAATGTTTTTCCAGAATCGTAATGTATATCCCTTCAATGTCTGATTCATCACTATGATTGCCTTCAACAGCGTTGGACTTTTGAGAAATAATTATTTTAAAATCAGCTTCAACGCTCCATCTAATTTAATATGCAATATTTGAAAATTTATTTTTTATTCCCTTCGGCAGTTTTTCAATGTTTATCGAATGATATTGCATTAAAAGGCCTTTTTCTTCATCACTGTGTGGTTTTCTCGCTATTTTGCATTGCGATAGTGATTTCTGAACCGTGTTTTGCGAGGGCTTATTTTAGGCCTGATTTTGCTGCTATCAGACGGAAAAAGTTTGCGGCTCGATATTTTTGGTTTAAAGCGAAACTGAAACAAAAGAAATTCATTTTTGAATAGTATTCGGTAACCTCTACTTGGGAGATAAAAATCGGCCGATTTTATTTTTTAGCCGGAAATCATCGGTCGTTTCTTAGGCGCAGGGCCTCTTAAGCATCAGATCTACTGACCAAAAGGTGTTGTTCGTTTCATTTCCTATTTCACCAAGAAACAAATTTTCATCTTCATCTTTTCCACTTCGCTAACCGTTTTGGACGATTTAAAGACAGTTCCCCAGTGGCCTCTCTTTGAGCACTTGAAACAAGTTGCATCTTTAGCTGGGCAGTTCGCTGGCTTGTGAGGCGCGAGATTTCCGCAGCGTTCGCAGCATGTCGAAGAGGGCTGAGAAGGCGGTTTCTTTAGCGGTGTTTTCTTAGGTTTCGGCCCATTCTCATCCTTGAGTTTCGGAGGGTTTCTTTCGTGTTACCTTGGCCGCGTCGACGTTTTTCTTTGCATCTTCAGAATCCTTGAAGTCGTTTCTCAAAGGGGCTTGTTGCTTCTTTACAGCTTCGCTTTGTCGAGCATGATTGATCACTTTAGCCAGAGATAATTCCGGGTCAAGTTGGAGTTTCTCCGATAATTTTGAGTCTTGAAGGCCAACCACAATTTGGTCTCAGATCATCTCGTCCTTTGGGGTTCCGTAATCGCGGTGTTCAGCGAGTGCGTGCAGCGCTGTAATAAATGTGTCAACAGTCTTGCCATCTTCTTGGCGGCGCCGATTGAACTTTGCTCGCTGAAAAATAACATTTTGGCGAACCACAAAGTGTTCATCAAACTTCGTTTTAACGGTGTGATATTGTTTTAGCTGCAACGTGGAAAGTTTGAAGGAGGTCAAAATATCGTCTGCTTGATCTCCCATAGCGTCGATCAGCGTGTTTATTTGGCTCTCTTCTTCTTCTTTCGCCAGGCCAGACGCTTGGCGGAAACGTTCAAATCTTAGGCTTTATTTCGGCCACTCTTCTTGACGACTGAATTTAAACTTTTCCGGTAGCTGGACTCGGAAAGATGTCATGGTTCGTCGATCCCACTTCTGACACCATGTAATGTTATTGAGAGGCGAAACAGGCTAGAACACAACAGCTTTAATCGAGCTAGTACAAGTACAACGAGCACATGGTAAAACAGCCCGCCCGCTAAGACTAATGGGACATCTAAAGCGATTACATCACAGAAAATACGGAAACAAATGAAAACGTTATGAGGATGGACGACTTGCTTATTTGTATGATGCTTGACGAGCATAAGAAAACGTGCAGAAATGTTGCAGTTCGAACGGATTCCTACACATAGAGAACAGTTCCACGGTTTCCGATTCCTCTTTTCGTCAGCACTTTAGGCTTTCAAGATCAACAGCCCAAAAGCTTGTCAAACTTTTGGGAAACTGCCCGGAGATCCCAGTACCGAGAGAAAGAGGTCGACCTACTATTGACCTTGAAAAACAGCTTCTCATAACGTTGTGGTATCTTGGCAATCCAGAGTGTATCAGGTCAGTGTCAGACAGATTCGATGTCACATGTTCTACTGTGTTAAGAGTTCCCACCAGAATATGCGAGGCAGTCGTGAACAATATCACTCCTCATTTTATTCAGTGGCCAACTAGAGAAAGGCTACAGGAGGTTATGGAAGGTTTTGATCAACACAATGGTCTACCTCGATGCATAGGTGCCATTGATGGCACGCATATTCCTATCAAAGCGCCGAGACAGCACCATGAGCATTACATTAACAGAAAGGACTTTCACTCAATACAACTTCAGGTAGTATGTGACAATGAAATAAAATTTACTGATGTGTACTGTGGTTGCCGTGGAGCAGTGCATGATGCTCGTATTCTACGAAACAGTCCTTTGTTTCACGATACAGAGGCAAGGACCGATGATATCTTTCCTGGACAAACATGCATCATTGGAGATGCAGCTTATCCCTTAAAACCTGGTTGCTGACAGGGACAACGGCCACCTCACTGCACAACAAATACGTTTTTCTCATCTTTTGAGTTCCAAGTGAATGATTGTCGAACATAGCATAGGTCTTCTAAAGGGCAGGTTTAGAAAGTTATAAGTCATTGTTGATGTTGACAGAACCAGATTCCTACCAATATTAGTTACAGCAGCATGCACACTCCATAATTTTTGCATTTATTCTGAGGATGAACTAGAGGATTTCCTAGATTCTGATGATGATGATGGTGATGCTAATGACTTTGTAAATATGTTTGCTAATGACAATAATGCTGTGCGAAAATGAGCAGAGCTCATGAATTTGATTTGCTAGACCACTTCTCCTATCAACTTTTTAAAACATTTCTCCTTGGAAATTGTTGCCTTAGAATTAATACTGTCTCCTTGAATTGATCAAAGTAAAGATTAATATTTCAACAAAGAATGCGATGAATGGATCAACAGTTGGAGAAAATTTACCAATATATAAATCCAAAAAGTCAGACCTTTTTTCCTATTTTTGGAAGGGCCGCGGACAGACCTCCAAACATTCCTTACTCTGCTTACTGTGCAAGTGTATAGAACTTGGAGATTTTTATGTAAGGGAAGGACAACTTATTTAAAGTTTGATTTTAACTTACACTGACAGGAATGTAGTGTTTTTTGTTTTGTTTGTTTTTGGAAGTTAAAAATTAAAAAGAACATTACAACGGGTTAGCTCCTAAGTCCCAGTTATGAACTTATGGTTATGTTACAGGCAGAAAACTTGGTGCTCATTCACAAGATTATACCCTCTACAAATTTTTGCAGCTGCTACTTTGTGTACTTCAAGAAAAATTTATTAAACTTTACGTATTTATTATTTTAGAAGTCACTGCAGTTGATGTTAGTCATTATAACTTCAAAGAAAAATAAACACAGAATTTTCAAAACAACATTTTATTTTTAATGAACGAAATATGTGACAGGAAAAGTTGTTTGGAAGTGAGTTAATCAAATACTCTTCAGTTTATGTGTCAATATAAGGTTTCTGGTTGGTTTTCACTGTTGATTGTTATAATTGCGTTAAAGGAGTGTCAGTTAAATGCAGACTCAGTTCCAGGGTGCATAGTTCTTTTGTGTCATTTCCTGTTTCATATTTTGGGAGAATGACAGTTTAAAAAATAGGATGGACTCTGACTTTGAGTAAGCATTTACAACTGTAACTGACAATCCTTGGTGCTAAAAAATCTGCAGTGTCTAAGTGACAACTGCAGTAAAGGGTATTAATTAAATCACCTCCAATCAGTAAAGATTTGTAGAAGAAAACAACCAATACAAAAGGAACATATTGTAAGTTGTAATAACATCACAATAAGGGATAATTTCAACACTTCTCATTAGGAAAGTTTTACCAAGTATAAGATAATAAACATCAAATATTTTTCTGACACTGATGCTTCAAAATCAACAACAAACATTAGCGTAATTGGAATCTTTTGGATTATTTCTATTTTGAAATGTCTTTTTCATAAAGGTCTATCAACCTGTCAAAGCGGCGCATTTTTTCTAGGTGCATTTCCTTGAAGTTTTTTCCCGCTCTTCCTCTTTCAGCTTTTGTTCTAGTCGATACTCTTTAAACAAATCAACAAGACTTTCCTTACTTTGTGCAGGCCTTTTTCCCTTGCGTTTTTTCTCTTTAGGGGGAATAGATTCATTGTCTGACGACAGTTCTTGCATAGAAGAGTCCAGAGACCCCCCCAGAAAAGATGGAGCTGCATGCATCTGCCTCAAATCCACTAGCAGGACTTGTAGCTCTGTTACAACAAACGGCGATGGGTTTCACGCACGGTGTCATGCCAAAAATTTTCCTTAGTTCTTCAAAATACGGGCAAGTCTTTTTATTGTTTCCTGAAACATTGTTGTGATCCACCATTCTCGTGTAGTTCTGTTTTAAGTTCTTAAATTTTGATTCACATTGTGAGCCAGTATACTGGTAGCCTTTCTGTCTCATATCTCTAGCGATTTACTTCCACAAGGTCATCTTGGTATTTTTATCCTTGAACAGTTGCTCTCTGTCTCTGTATAGTGAGAACAGAAGTCGTACCTCGGGCCAGGGGCCCGTTTCTCGAACGTCCCGGTAACTTTTCGGGCCCGAAATCAAATATTCAAATCGAAATATAAAGAATAAATGCAAGGGTCCTGGCTCGCAAACTACTCCATTTTGTTCATTAACTGATAGTTTTATCATGTTAGATGCAAAACTATTGAAACCTCGATCTTTACTGTAAACGGGGTCAGCTTACCGGGCCCGTTAATTAATCGGACTTTCGAGAAACGGGCCCCAGGACCACTTTACTTGTATATGCGTGGTGCTCAACTGGAACTCGAAATTATCTTGATTATTAACCTCAGCACAGGTAGCCGAAGCTCGAAATATGAGCATCGGCGAGCATCGGCATTGTTGCGTAACATTGAAAGTATAAGGATTTGTATGGGAAAAAACCTATCGTTTCTGTAACCTACGAAAATGAAAGGATTTCAATAAAAAACAGGTTACCTTACTTAAAATGTGTTTCGTCTCTCCTGTGTGGTCCACCGGTCGATTTGTGGCCGTTTTATGGGTTTTTATGTAAATGGTTTTCTCTCTATATGAAGGTTTACCAAGGTTGGGCACTCTGGCAAAGCGGCTCTACCGATCCACTGAAGGAAAACTGCCATAAATTCGCTCCAACTGCTCCAATCACCTGTAAATTCCGCCTAGGTAACACACGATAGTTCTCCTTTCCATTCGTTATCTTGCTTCAAGATGCCTTTGCACTGAGAGAGAATCAAAGGTTGCAAATCTCTGCAACCTTTCCCATCTGAAGCCATCGACTAAGGCTCTGCTTGAACTCCGCGTTACCGTTGAAAGATAGCGACACGGCCTGAGACTCAAATTACTCACACTCGGGGAGGGAGACAGTCTCTTGTTTCCATTGTTTTCCTTCTCGGGTATGGACGTCAAAATCATTTGCTTGCTGGCAAATGGGGCATCTGACGGAGGGTCCAAATAATTTGGCTACCACTGGGAGTCCCAAGAAGGCAAGAGGCAAGAGAAAGGCACAAACATATCAGATTTCTGTTGTCTATCTGTTCAGTAATTTATTTATTTCTCTATTACAATGGATTTATCTATTCATATCAAGACATAGATATATCAGTATCTCTATCTCAGTTGTCCTCAATTTCACTATTCGGTTCCCTCATTATCATCTCCTCTGTTTTTTCTTTTTCTCTTTCTCTTTCTCCTTTTTTATTTAGGGTACTATATAGTTCAGCCTGTCTTTGTACTAGTTATATCCAGTACTGTAATTGATAAACAGAGTTTGTGCGCTCTAGAAACGCACAGCAAACGCCCAGAGGTCATCGGGATGACTGTTTGTGGTACCCAACCATGCTGTGATGGGCCTACCAGAGCATACACTGGCCATATCAGCATGCAAAAAAAGTTGCGTCGGATAGCCCATGATTAGTAGATCTTGTGATAAGGCCAGCAAATTCTGTTCTTAACTTACCTGATGACCAAGTGACGTTTTTGGAGGAATTCTAATTATAGAAGCATTATACGAAAGAATGGTTTAATTTTCTTATAAATTCATGTAGATAGAAAACTCGTTTAAAAGCTGATTTGGCAATTCTGTTGATAAGAAATCTTTTTAGGACTAGTTAAAATGACCCTCAGGCTTGGACATGCGAGGTTTTGGCAAGCTGTAAAACAAATTTTCTTTGCACCCTGCGTATCTGTTAAGTGTTAGTCTATATGTAAAGATCCTGTTGATTTCCTGAATATAAACCTGATTAATGTTGTTAAACAGTATTATGTTATAAACACGTAAAGTTGATGTGTCTACAAAATAATGTTATTCTAACTGATGCAGTATTACCTGCTGCAAATGAGTTGTCATGGTCAGACAACTTGTGTACGTCTTTAACTGGTTTATAAACTTCAGTCTGTGTAGTAAAACAATATCCTGAACATGATTCTTCTGGCATGTAATATTGTATTGAAAAATAAAGTTGGTAAGTTACACTAGGTAGCATTACTGACCTGTGCTTCGTTTCTATAGTGAAGTGGCTCCTTTTTTAACAGCTTATGAGAGGCTGCAATATGTTGCTGATATTTACTTTGCAGTAAAACTCTTTTCCTAATTACTTTGTTGTATTCTCTTCTTTTCTGTTCTTGTGATTGTTTTGCCTTAAACAAGATCATGATGGTGTTAATAATTATTTTTAGTATTTAATGATGGTATGAGTATAAGAACAGAGATGAATAATTATTATAAATTATAGATCAAATTATGTACCGTAAAACATTAGCTGTAATCCCACTGCTGTTCACACTCATATCTACCAAGTGTCATCTATAATTTATCTTTGTAGTATATTAATTTCATCCACAGCAAAATCAGTTGTATAAATGCAAATGAAGTCTTTTCATGTCTACACACTGGGAGTCTACTATACAGCAAGTGTAATTTGAGTTCATGTGTTCTGTGTAATGTCTTTCTTGTACCGTTCATCATTAGCGATGATTCATGTTTTAGATTGTTAATTAAAAATTTTCAAGACTCTTATTAATTATTGTGGGGTGCAAAAGTGATGAATTATTATCACCTGTATCATCTTCAGAAGTGTTTGGGTAGCTTTACGAGGTTTTATACTAACGACAGCCCTGTCAGTTAACACAGTGGTTGACTTTATTACAAATGGTTAGCTAATGCTAGGTAGGGGATGTGCTGGCTACTTTATTATTTGGGAACGACCTGCAGCTCTGTAAATTATGTCAACAGTGCAGACAAAACCAGTCACAATTGCACTTATTGCAGTAATAACTGGTTTTGACTGTTTAGTTATCTGACCTTAATGTCATTTCCGTTTGGAGTAGGTAGTCTAGTAGGTAGTTTTTTTTTTACAGCTGAACACATTTCCTTTTTCAATGTCGTCAATTTCTTGCAAAGAATGACTTGCATTTTTGCCTACAACAAAACAAAGTAAGAAAAAATGTGACAGAAAAGTCTCTTTTTATATTGTAAAAGTGTGAAAAGGGTGCTGATATTCATCGCATGAAAATCCTCCAATTTTTTATATCCTTAGCAATTTCTTTCCCCCTCAGTCTTAAGATGCGGATGCCCGAGGAAAGACATTTTCCATATTACATCATTGAATCGCCTACTGGTGTCCTTTTTCTAGGCTTTTTCTATGTTTTTTTCTATTACCTCTGTGAACCGATTAAGGCAAAACTACATACCCATCCTTTGTACCGATCGTCCTTCTGAATTCTCTGCATAAAGCCCTAAAAATGTTGATGTTGATCAAAAACTTTAGCCCAGGGCACTTTACCCTGGTGATAGATTCTGTTTGACTAGTTACAGGATAAACACCGTGTTTTCCGGTTTGTGGGGTGAAGAAGCAAAGAGAAAGGCAATGTGAACTTATCTCCATCGTGAGCAATGAATATTTTGACAAAATTATCGTGAAAAGTTGCAATATAATAAGCTATAATAATATCCTTGGTTGTCGTGCGACGATTTGATTTAATATGCTTTATTAACTTTTTGATATGTTTTGACTCAAACAGGAAATCCTTTCAAAACCCTAGAAGATTATAGCCCATATTCTATCAAAAAAAGCAGTCCCTTCTTACATTTGTGTAGTTTTAATAAATTGTTTAGACAATTTGATAGTTTATTATGAACATCATGGCTCTATGTTTCGTGACCTGTCCACGCCATTTTCGCAATTTTTGTAAACGTCCCCGAGGTTTGCGACTTTGATCCCACAGATCATTTTTGCTAACTTATTAGATGATTCACTTCTATCAGCAATCTAGAGACGTATAGCACATTAATGTCATTTGTTTTTCTCGAGACTTAATTCTGCTGGGCTCTTCAGTTATGCGTCTTAAAGATGCATTTATTATTCAAGTCTCCTGGCCTGAAGTTGTCTGGGTCAGTGAAGTCTAAGTCCGTACATTTGCCACAGACTTCCACTTTCTCAACGAGTTTACACTTCTTGTTATTAGCTGTTATTTAATTGGCGGACTTGGCAGGGTTTCCGAACAGGTCGAGCCATTGCTATTATAATTACATAGAGACTCAATCTCGAGGTGAAAATCTCTGCTCTTCCCAAGTCCATGTGATTTCTACAAAGCAAAACTATAATCAACTTGGTGCCAGCATATAACGAAATATTGTGGTTTAAGGGACAATCTAGAACCCCACCAAATCGACAATGAAATCACACCTCTGACCTAGTGCATTTCTAAAGGGGGTTTTAGGAAACTAGATAACCCTTTTTTCAAAACTGTTATCTCAGTGTGACTTGTCATGTAAGCCAGTGCATTGACCAGTGCCTCGGCCTTTACTTTGGCGATAGTGTTGCCAGGTGCATCCACCATGCGCACCGCTAGCCTTTCAGCCAGTTTGTCGACCAGCACCTTGTCCTCCAAATAGGCCAGTGTGTCGCCAAGTGTCTCGACCTTTACCTCTGCTAGCCTGTGATCTAGTGTGTCGACCATCACCTGGGCCTCTACCTCGGCCAGTGTCTAGTGCAGCGCCTTGCCCTTAACCTTGTTCAGAGTTTCACCAGGTGTCTAGACCTCCACCTCTGCTAACCTGTCAGTCAGTGTGTTGACCAGCACCTCTTCTCAACTTTGGCCAGTGTGTGATCAAATGATAGAATATCTCGACCTCCACTTCTACTTGCCTGTCAGCAAGTGTGTCAGCCCGCACCTTGTACTCTAACTTGGTGAGTGTTTTTTTTGGAAGCCAGTGTGTCTAGCAGCGCCTTAGCCCCTTCTTCGGCCAGTGTGTTGCCAACTGTCTCGACCTCTACCTCTGCTAGACTGTCAGCCATTGTGTTGATCAGTGCCTCGGCTTTCTCCTCAGCCAGTGTCGGGAATTGTGTCGAGCTCCCTTAGTGCTAACCTTCAAACTAGTGTGTTGACCAGTGGCTCACTCTCCAAATGAGCCA